CAGGGAGAGCAACAGAGCTTGCAAGTCTAATACATTGCAAATGCTCCTGCTTTGAAAATAACTTTCCCAGACATTAGCCCTACATGATAAAGCGTCTCTAAATCGACCCAAAACTAAGAAGAATGGCCAGATCTGTAAGGCTCGGTCTGAACTTAACATGACAAATATTTTCTCTTAATGAGAATTCTAAGCAAACATTATGAAAATAAATATAATAACCTAAAGCTAGAAATCGATCCTATTAAATTTGTTCTGATAATCAACCCATCACTTTCTGTTATGTGACGTATTGTGATGTCTTCACACGCATAGCTCTTCATGTTAAGATTTCCACTAGTGTTTTAGTAACAGACTTTCAATTGATAGGAGACACCACCTTTAAACTGTGAATTGCCCACGTGAACACTTTCCACACTTACACTTTGATTCACAAACTACATTGCATTTCTGTGTGCACATCCTGCATGTGCACTCATTGAATATTCCCCAGTGCCTTTTACTGCCTTAGCCCCTCACACTAATCAATATCCACTGATAACAGACATGTTGTTTCTTTGGCTGTCAGCCAGAACACTAAAAACATATTACTCTTGCACACTCATACTGGAGTGAAACAAACAAGCTTATCTTGGCTACAGGATCTCCACTCCCTGAACTGACAGTCTTGTTTAGAGAATTACTTAGTTCAATGTTTGCTGAACTTTACTGATAAAAAGTCATTCATCAAGCTAAAAGGAAAATCTACTCAGCTTTTCAAGAGTATTCTTCCTCTGTGTAGTTGCTGGGAGGCAATGCACATGAATAGGAACAAACCATTTTGATCCTTTTCTTTCTTTCATGCTTTGTTGCGTTCTGTCTCTCCCTGCCTCGCATAAATCCAGCTCCATCAGTTTTCATTATGTCTTGTCGTCATCTCATGGGGCCTTGTTTGTAGGTAGTGAGGCTACACCCTCTATAGCAGCACAAGACCATATTACCCCCTACATTCACATGTGACTGAATAAAACAAATCCATCAGCTATTTCAAGGTCAAACTACATTAAAAAGAAAAAGTGTATTCAAAGCAACACTGGATTGACCCACATTAGGGGGGCCGTGGGTCATGTGCAAACGTTATCTTGTAGAGTGATCAGCAGACTGACCTTTCTGTAGGAATTCAGACGAGTCAGACGTTGATGTGATTTTTATTATCAGGTCCAGTCCGTCCCCACTGACATAGACAATGGACCAAGCGAAGCTGATACAACACCTGCTTTATTTGAGGAAGCAAACGTGAGTTTTTAAACCTCTATTTTTTGAAAATACAGGTTTTTTTTCGAGCATTAATGTTGTTCTGGATCAAAAATAGTTTAATCTGGGTGTTTCATATGTAGTAGGACCTCGCCCCTAGGGCCGGGCAATATAAGTTATGATACATTAATGTTGTGATGGGAGACTAGAAATAGATATCTGGATATTGCAAACGTTTATTTTCAACCCTGAATTACAATAAATGGATGTACTTTAACTTTGTATTTTGTACTGAATGTACTGGACTGTTCGAACTGTTCTATTATTTGACTTATATCAACATAACTGATATTTATTAATTATTACATCGTCTTAATATTTTCTTAAAGCAGTTGTCAACCATTACAATATTGTTGCAGCTGTAGCCATTGGGTATGCTATTAAAGCGGCTGCTTGTAATCCTCTGTGTTTTTCTGTTACACTAGGATGGGTTTAATAACATCAAGACATTTGTTGAGGAGGAACTACAGTCGAGCATGGTAAGTGCAGCACATTTTATTAATGCCATACATGTTTTACCATAGATAGCCAGAAAAAATAATGTAGCTCTCTAGTATTTAGAAAGCACAAAGATATAGATGATTTAATAAAGTCATTCTTCGACCTTAAAAACATCAAAGTAAATATAATATAAGTGAATCAGTCATTAGATTTTGTCAGCTTTTGACCTTGTAAACACATCCACTCTCCTCTTCTCTTCTTCTTTTCTGTGCAGATGGTGGGGATGGTGATTGGTGCGGGCATCGCCATAGTGCTCATCGCCATCCTCATCTTCTTCATCTTGCGAAGGATCCAGCTTCGAAGTCAGTATCTGCTAAGAATCCAATCTCACCATGCATTCAGAACATGTAAAAATAGTCAGGAAAAATAAGTATGTATTTTGAAGGTTTTATGTTATTTCTTATTTTTCAGACATAGAAGCTCAGCAGGCGCCCAAATACCGCTTTCGCAAGAGGGACAAAGTAATGTTCTACGGCCGAAAGATCATGCGTAAAGTGAGTGTTTGGATGGCAGAAAATGATAATACTCTAAGCAAGCCTGCAAGTCTGTGTTGTAGTTATCACAGGCTGCTTTTGGCAATATATAAGGGCTATTTTTATAACCAACATGTCTCTCAACAGGTCTCACAGTCTACCTCTTCCCTGGTGGGTACATCCTCTTCCTCTCGGCCACGCCTAAAGAAGAAGCAGAAGATGCTCAACATTGCCAAAAAGTAAATAAGAAAGCTTTCTCTTAACAACAGAAACACTTCTACTGAAAGTTCACTGTCAGAAGTTCACACACTTTCCCATCCCCTCCTCATATCACACTCCTTCTGCTGTGCAGGATCCTGCGCTTCAAGAAGGAGGTGCCAATCCTGCAGGCCAAGGAGCCCCCTCCCTCAGTGCTGGAGGCGGACCTCACTGAGTTTGATGTGGCCAACTCACACCTCCCCTCCGAGGTGCTGTACATGCTCAAAAATGTCCGGTAGGTTTATCTCCTTTTTTCATGTCTATGATTGTTTTATTTTTAGGGGAGTTCATCTTCAACTTATTTTTTATACTTAAAAAAGTGATATTATATGATTCACATGCCAAATGATCACATTTATTCATTCAAAACAAAAACACATTTGTTTATGATAGTATCGTTCGTTCCGGTGCACTCCGGCAGGACTATAGCACATCGAGATTAAGATTAAACACATTTCTTTCACTTGGGAATACACTTAACTATGGGGAACCAGATTTGTTTAAAGTACTGTTCGTGGTAATTTGAAAACAAATGCCGGTGGTGTCGGACACACGAACACGCACACAGAGCGGAGCTGAGCACACACACACACATCATGCGCCCCGGTGACAGGACATCTCCTTCATAAAGCGAGGGGGAATACTCTGGTAGTTCGATGTGTGTATAGGTGTGTGTGGTTAAACGTAGCAGCCTCGATCTCTATTCAGCAGTTCTAATGAAGGGAAACGCAGTGAAGTAAACAGTAAAAGGCACAGCTCTTTGCAGCTGGTGCTGCTCTTCTCAGATTCTGCTGAGTTACACGTTACTGCCTCCAGTGCCCTGTACGACGAAGCCAGTTCAACAGACCCTGGACCTGGACATGTTCGATTTACCCGGCTTAACTAACCCTAACAAACGCGATGTCGATAAGCGGTCCTACGAAGCTAGTTATCAACTCAGTAAATCAACCAGGGTTTCTCTGTCCGGCTGAGAGCGCGTTCACGTGAAAGGGACGGGGTTAGCAACATTTGACCAATCACAAACATGGAGACGCGTGCTGACAGCGCAGCGTCATACTTCATGAATGAATAGTGTAAATAGCCAATCCTGCTTCGTAGTACAGGCCACTGGTGCCGCAGAGATTTCATAAAGTGAAGGAGGTTTTCCTTCTATAAAACAGCTGTGGGCAGATACTGTGAGTCACGGACAGGAATCCCTCAATTTAAATAAAACGAGGCCACGCTTTATTAACTCGTGCGCACGCTTTAGTAACTCGTGCGAACGAGAAAGTAAAACGTGGCCACGTTTTATTTATTTTTCTCTCAATGAACCCTCCAGGGCTCCGTACATAATGAAGAAAAATCATTTGAAACATACAATCATTACTGATTAGTTCACACATGACCTCCCTGTCTTCATTGCAGTGTGCTGGGTCACTTTGAGAAGCCCCTCTTCCTGGAGCTGTGTAAACACATGGTGTTTGTGCAGTACCAACAAGGGGAGTACGCCTTCAGGCCGGGACAGCCTGACAGCAGCATCTACGTGGTTCAGGATGGAAAACTAGAATTGTGCCTTACTGGAGCGGTATGCCTTGCTGATTGTTATTGACTCAGTCCGAGCTTTTATGTCTATATCTGTTTAACTGTCTGTACCTCCTCGATTTGTTAGAAAAGCTTATGAACACAAGTTGCTTGTTTTTTGTCCTTTTAGGATGGCAAAGAAAGTGTGGTGAAGGAGGTCTATCCGGGAGACAGTGTCCACAGCCTCCTTAGCATCCTGGATGTCATCACAGTATGTCACACCGAGTTGCTACACACTCAAATGACACATACATGTGGCTTTTATTGTTGGACCCCACGCACCAACTTCCTTCTCATTGAGTCACAATCACCTGCTGACTCACTCATGTCCTTCACTAACATACACCTGGCTTGTACATTTATCACATACATTGTAGTTGTTATATAGTGTACATTTAAAATGAAATAGTTATCTTTAATCTCTAGGATTATCATTAAAATGTTTGAAATAGATTGTTTTTGATGTGTTTGTATACTGACGTGTGATATTTTATGATTGATATCTTAATAAAACATTGTCACAAAGGAACAACGACATTATTACTTCAAGAATGGTCTAGAATAAGCAATCTCTCACGTAAGAACTTATTAAAATATGAAAATGTTCTGAAGTACTATGTGGGATCTTTGTGTCCAGGGCCACCAGAAGCCTTACAGAACTGTTTCAGCACGGGCTGCAGAGGTTTCCACTGTTCTCCGTTTACCCGTAGAGGCCTTCCTTGCTATATTCGAGAAGTACCCTGAGAGCCTGGTGCGGGTAGTACAGGTGGGTTGTTGTGTGTTTAATTCTGTTGGTTCCTCTTTCTCCCTCTATCTTTCTCGCTCTAGTGTTCCTGTATCGTTCAGTAGAAATGTACGCAGTCATAAAACTGAAGTGGTTTTATAATGTTGTGTCAGTTCGCATTAATGTGAAAAAACGACTCACTTCCTGTTTTATTTGTTTAGATTATCATGGTTCGTCTCCAAAGAGTAACAGTCCTAGCCCTGCACAACTATCTGGGGCTCACCAATGAGCTCTTCAGCCATGTGAGTTCACACACACACACACACACACACACACACACACACACACACACACACACACACACACACACACACACACACACACACACACACACACACACACACACACACACACACACACACACACACACACACACACACACACACACACACACACACACACACACACACACAATACATTCCCATTGAAACATCTGCTGGTGATGTGGTTTGGCATTTTTCAGGAATTCAGCGCTATAAACTCAGCACACATGCTGTTTTTATTACAAATTGAGTTGCAATAAGCTAATGCTTTGTCTCTGTTTCACCTCTCCCCCATCTCACATCATACACATATCATTTGCAATGGTCCTGTAGGAAATGCAGCCCTCACGTCTTCCACCTCCATCTCCCCATCCAACTCGCACCAGTCCCATCCGGCATGGTAAGCGCTTCGGCAGCCTGACTGTGACAGAGGAGCATCGAGAAGCTGCCGTTAAGGGTGAAGCTACAGGTAGGGAGAAAAAGACAGAGAGGAAATGATTATCTGTGTGAAATAAAAATCTTAACTCTCTATTTCTGCCACCGTTTTGGGTTTAGTTTATCTTTAAATTCCTTACCAGTGATTTTCTATATGTACCTACAGGAGGGGAACAAGGGAAGGACGGAGCAACAGTGCCAACTCTCAGCAGGACCATCTCCATGCCTGTGGACATTGCCGGTGAGGGACTTCTGCCCCTGTTCACAGAGAGATCATTTTTTCTTAATGTTCTTCAGTTTCAGCTGTACGATGTGCTATTTTGAGAAGGCACTTGCGTAGAAACATTGCTGAGATGCCTGAGGGGAAGGGATCAGAGTGGAAAGAAGATTTGTTGACAACGGCAACACAAAAGGGTCAGCTCCCGTGTCTAATACCAACCCCTCAGCTCTTCTCATGTCATACCAATCTACAATAAACAACACGTACAATACTTAGTTTCTGGGCATGTTCACGCCTGTCATATTGAAATCATTTTTAGTCAAGCTTTTACCCCCATTTAGTTTGCTTGTTTTTTTATCCCGCTTTTTCAAATGAAGCACAGTGCAATAAGAAGGACTTATCTTTACCCTCTGCAGGTAACGGCATGTTAACTCAGAGAAATGTATGGCATGACAACACAGATGTTGAAACATGAGAACCAGCAGTGAAGTGAAACTGAGGGCAAATCTCACAGTCTCGCCTTTTTTCACAAATGTGTTCACTCATTGATGAAGACAAAGGCAGACAGGTCCATTATCAAATAAAAACAATTTATAAAAATTAGATTTAAAAAATGCAAAAGAAAGAAAAAAAGTGTTTATGAGTCTTCTTACTTTACATACTGTTGGTGCCTGCATGAGTAATGAACTTGAAGTTTTAACAAACAATTCTCAGCCATTGTGCTTTAGCAAAACAAATTTGAAATAATCTGAATACGATCTTCAGAAAATTGCTCCATAATTTGATCTGTTTAAACCATAGGGTTTAAACATTATAACCTGCCGAAGTGAAGTAGTATTTTTCCCCCTAACAACAAAAGCTGATTGTTGAATTAATACTGAATATCTCAATGTCTTTGTCTGTGCAGTTCTACAGACAGGCCTGAGATCGGACTTTGACATGGCGTACGAAAGGGGACGGATCTCTGTCTCTGCAGAGGATGGCAACACTCCTCCTACGTTTACTCGGGTCAGTACACTGCAGACTCTTGAGAAACAAAGAAGATAAGGTTAATTTATCTTGTGACATAACATTTGGTAACTACAGCTAGGGTTGCAAAATTCCGGGAATTTTCAAAGATGGAAACTTTCCATGGGAATTAACTGGGAATTTTATAAATTGAAGGTTGGCTCTTCATAGGGAACTTAAACATAGTTGGGGAAAGTATATTTTTGTATTATCTTGACTAAAACAAACAGATGCCATTCAAGTACACTTGAATATCCATGCCATAGCACACTGCTTACTGCATGGCTATTGAGACCACACAAAGGTTCACAACAGGCTCACAAATGTGAGAGTGGAAGAACTGGTTGGCATTCGGGCAAACCTAAGGCTCTTTGAGCCTGACACAGAGCCATCCTCAACAAGGCTGGACAGTGACGCTGAAGAGGAAGACTCAGAGTTGGATGTTGATGAGGCCCAGGAAGAGCCCGTTGACTGAAAGGCTTTAGCAAAAATGCAGAGGATTGCTTGAAGGAAGATGTTCATGTTTAAAGGAATGGTATGCTCATGACACTCATTTTTAAATAATTATCATCCGATAAAACAGACCAGTCTCTGCCAGTCTTTTTTTTTTTTTTTTTTAATCCGATGACATTATCAGTGATTTTAAACTGATTAATTACCGAAATAACATCAACACTGTGGGCGGCGCCATTTTACCGGACGTGACGTAAACCATGCGTTTGGTTTCGAGGACACGTTGATGTTCATGTTATTTACTGTAGTTACTCTCTTCAAATATGCCTCATTGTATCGCGAAACATTGACACAATTCTGATAGGAACAATCCACGGAATGCTCGGTTCCATCTGTTGCCAAAAGGTAAGCGTAGGAAGTACGTTCGGAGGCAGTGGCTAGCGAAATGTGGCCGGCCCGAACCGAAAGATCCACAGGCGCATGTATGCAGCGAACATTTCAAGTTTCCGGACGACTACTCTGAGAGTATGATAAAACATAACATGGGATTTATTGAACAACCATTACTTAATGGAGATGCAGTACCATCGGTCTTTCTGGTGTCATCACCGACCAGGACACCAGTTCGGCCAGTTGAGAAATCGCCCTCTGCAAGTGTGAAGCGACGGAGGACCAGAAGTAGTGCTCGGAGTAAGAATAAGGTATGTTATGGCGCATTTCCATTGCAGCGGGTAGCCCCGTTTAAACGTCCTTTATCGTCCAGGCCAGGCCAGTTTTTGGTGGCCTTTCCATATAGCGTAGTACCGGCTAGTGGGTATTTTCCCCCAGTTTTTCCGGCCCCATCAAATCGTGGTTCTAGGGCCAGGGACAACGAGACTGAGTATGCTAAACTAGAGAGGGAATCACAGCTTTTTCTAAAGGCCCTGACACACCAAGCCGATATCGGCTGTTCTCGTAAGTCGGGAGACGAAGCGTGTCCTGTCGCCCAAACTCAATTTGGTGTGTCCCGAACCGTCGACCGTGACACGCCTTATTTGGACTGCCTGACCCGATCCATGGCCGATTGAATCGGCCATGGATCGGGTCTGGCAGTCGGACCAAACAATCACTCTGATTGGCTGTTCAGCTAGCGAATCAGTGCATGAGAAGCGATACGGAAGTGAGAGACGTAAACAAACGATTTAAGAAGAAGGCACACACAGACTGCTATTCATATTTAAATATAGCAACATCTTTAGCTTGCATACCTGTTGCCAAAAATCGCAGCGTAACCATCAGACGTGTCCCCACGGAGATGCAATCCGGGTAGTTGGTGTTTTCCCTCTGGGTGATTGGAGTGATGAGTTCCTCCAACGTGTGGAACTGCACAGGAAAAAGCAGAGCGACATTTCTGAAATCTGGCACTTCATTGAATTCCAGCTCTCGACACAGGTTCGGGAAAGCACCGTGAGCTTCTCGCTGTAGTATCCATGACTTCACCCAATTAGTGCGGTTTCTCCTAATTCTTCGCTTCCGCTTCTTGAGAGACTGTTGCTTGAGAATGTCTTCCACAAGTAACACTGCAATGGCTGATAGCTCCAGTGCCGCACGAAACATGTTTTAGATGGACGAGAGGGAAAATGGAACACACAAGCTATTTGTTGTTGTTTATATCACGGTCTGTTCTTCTTCTCTGTCTTCCGGTTGTTGCCTCTTTTGAATGACGAATACACACTACCGCCGCCTGCTGGTAAGGTGAGTTATTGCCACTCACGCACTGAAGTCTTTGCGGTGTGTTCCCGTGCGACACATGGCCAAGACGCAAGAGAACACGGCCAGGCAACAGCCGACGTCAGCGTCGGCGAGTCCTCTGGTGACTGCTTGGTGTGTCAGGGCCTTAACACCACAGTGTCGAATTCCCCGTGTAAACATATGCAATCCAAGTCGTCTGTGAACAGTTTATTTTCAAGCTCTTCAAGCTCATGACAACATATGTTCATAAGAGGATTGTCCATGGCTACACACCGATCGCAAGTACACCATTCATGTACAGGTCTTCCTACTCGCCTCCCGAAATCAATTGCACGAGTAAAAGGATCGTCTCCAGCAAGATCACCGTGCTGTTCATCCTCATCGTCACTGTCCCTGGATTCCTGACAGTTCTGACTACTTGGCTCGAACCTGTATGGCTGAATTCCCCCATCCAATCTCTTCATATTGCTCAAAACTTCTTCCTCGGCTGACGAGTCCGAACCATAGACTGTATATATAAAGGTCCGAACTCAAATACTCCGCCATGTTTTCGTGTGTTTACAAAGTGAACGCATGGATGACGTCACGACCATCACGTGACTACTCAAAATGGCAGCGGCCTGACGGAATATACAGGTTTTGATAAAAAAGAGCTATAAAATCATTATTTACCGGGGAATATCGCTGATTTCTTCAGGGTATGGTTTAAACATAATGTTTCACTAAATACTGAAGTTTTGATTAATTATCTAATGAGTGGAGCATTCCTTTAATGGGACTTTTTGGAGGGAGAAGGGCTCTTTTCATTTAACATTTTGAATGGGACTTTGTGGGGATCTTTGGATGGGGGGTGCATTTTTGTTCATTTTTTAATGAGTGGGGTTGGGGGGGATGAGTAATATTTAACTCAACATTCCTGTTTTCGTTCTTCAATGAAACAAATAATTGTTCAATAAAATAATTAAAACATGTTCTGTTCTACTTAATAAAAAAAAAAAATGTAACAAAAAAGATCTGTTGAAATGTCATGTTTTTTGTTTAATTTGGCATCGAATATTTCCAAAATTCCCCAGCTTAACTTCCCATGGAAACTTTCCGGAAACTTCCCGGAAATGTTTCGCCCCTTTGCAACCCTAACTACAGCAGAAGCTACAGTGGTGTTGCAGAACAAAGACTTCCGCAGGGCATGAATAACAACAATCTTATCCAGTTTATTTAAATATTAACAAGTTTTTACTAGAAACGTTCTCATAGTGCAATCATACCTTTTTTGTATTGTTCAAAACATACAAGTTTTAAAAATATAAACGTGGATTAAACATTAAAGTATGTTAAAAACACAGCGACATAGTATGTGATATTATCCAACACTTAATACGTTGTAATTCTTAGTTAATCATCTCATCATTATTACTCATAGATAATTCATACTTTTTTGCAGGGGAAGCTCTCCCAATCTAAAAAGAAGTCATAGTTTATATTGAAAAATGTTCATGTTTGTGAACCATTGCAGTCTATATCCCAGGACCAGCGGGAGAGGAAGGTGACCGTAGACGAGGTTCCCTCAGGGATCTATCTGTATCCAGAGGAAGAGTCGGGAGTGGACAATATTTTTACACCTGTATCCAGTCGATCCAATGCTGCTTTGTTTGAGGATGCTCAGAAAGAGATCCTCAAACTCATGAACATTGAGGTTTGTTTTATTATTTTGCTTATTTATATAGTGTCTTTATTATATATTGGTATTAAATGGCACTTAAATAAAATGCCAAATCCACTACAGAAAATGTAAAAACAGTAAGGCAACATTTGTTGTCAAATGCCAGTTTTAAGCTTTTTTAAACAACTTGTATATATACATTTATTTCATCATATACAGTATACTGTAGGACCCACTTTCCTGGATTAAGAAATAACAGTAGGCTGATTACATTGTTATTTTTTGCATGAATGAACACATTGTCACTAATCACTCAGCACCATCTGCGGAAAAGTGGTCAGACAGTAGGCCCACTATACAGGAGCTAGGCCTGGAGTATAGATGGGTGGGGGGGAAGGCTGCAGTGTCATGCCACAGAGACATGTGTTTGGTAATATATGTAAGGGGAAAAAATGAGGTAACAAACTATGCATGCTAAATTAGCTTCTTAAAACTTAAAATCCAGCAGGGTTTAGATGGTGTCTGGTAGGAAGTTGTTATTACACATTTAATGAAATAAGCGGTAAACCCTCTCTGTGTGCCTCTTGGCGGTTATTTCTACACCTAATATTTCAAAACATTAGTGTATGTGTAATGAGACCAAAGCATGATGCCTTAAAGGTAGGGTTTGTAAGTTTGAGAAACCAGCTCGAGTGCGCTAGAATTTGAAAATACACGACCGGAGAAAATCTGCCACTTCCTTACAGAGCCCCTCCTCCAACACACACGAACGCACACATGACCAATGAGGGCACGAGATAAGTTTGTGCCCAGATGGAAGGCTGACAGGCAGGTAGGCCATCCAGTTATTTTAGCCGGGCCGGCTCAAATGATTGGTCGTGCTTTTTACAGTACTACAGCTTCCACAGATGACATTTTTTATGGATTTCTTTTCAAAGTACTTAAGATATTCATTGCTATCGGGATGTTAAGAGCATTCCATGGAATATAACAAAAAGTGTATCTCGAGCCGGTTTCTCAAACTTACATACCCTACCTTTAAGTACATGTTGCAGATTTGTCTGCAGCTTAAGCTCCATGCAAGTAGAATGAAGACATGTAATCAAAAATGCTGCTTGATTGACTGTTGTTTTTTCTTTCTTCTAAAATCTAGGACCCATCTTTGTTAAATGGGAAAGTGACTCTGCACCAAGCAAAAGCTGGAGCCGTCTTGGCCAGACAGGGAGACCAGGTAGCCTACTTAACACAAGAATTACTGGACTCTTTTTGTAGACTCATAATAAACTTCAACTACAGAAGCAATGACATAAAGGAATACAAGGGGTCTTAAGTTAGGCAGCTTTGGAAACTGTAAAAAAAATGTTAAGCTGATTATTTAACCCCTAAAAATCCTTGTCATAGAACCTGCATAATTTTTTCATTTTTCTTTGTCTATATTTAACTAGTTTAAGAAGTTACACTTTATTTAAAAATGTTTAACTTACATGTAATAGGCTATACAAATTAAATGTATTACTCTTTTTGCTACCTGTGTGTCTATATTTTATTTATTTTTTCTATATTACTAACATCAGATTCTGGATTTAATATGTATTTGCTGCACTTTGCCTTGTAAAGTATAGTAGAAGTGGAAATAAACGCTAATCAAATACAATTTCAGATGTATGTAGTCAAGGCAAATCATTTTCCTCCCTTTTTTCTTTTTTCTTCTTCTCTCTTTTAGGATGCAAGTCTCCACTTTGTCCTGTCAGGTTGTCTGCATGTCTACCAGCGAATGATTGACAAGAAGGAGGCCGTCTGCCTGTTTGTGACCCACCCGGGGGAGATGGTGGGCCAGCTCGCTGTGCTCACTGGAGAGCCCCTCATCTTCACCATCAAAGCCATCAGAGAGTGTACTTATGTCAAGATCTCAAAGTCAGATTTCTACGAGTGAGTCAATCTCTTTCAAAATTCACGAACAAGGAAAAAACCCTCAATTTTTAATTGAAGCTTTCTGTACAAAATGTTTTTGGGAATCCAATATCTGGATTGCGTCCTGGGACATATTATGTTTCATGTAAATACAACAACATAACAACAAACTCACCAACAAAAAATTATACTGACCATCATTACTAAAATTGTATGCAGGGCAAACAATGTAATTGCTCCCTTTTACAGTCTGTGACCCAGGTACATTGAGGTCTACTTAGAAACCTTCAGTAGTTTAATTTAATTTCCTTCATAATTAATTGAAACCATTATAATTTGAACTATAAATCATCTGCTTCCAATCAGTATTGATACTGTACAGCCAGTATGGCTCATGTCTGTGCCTGTGTGCTGCCCCCTGCAGGATCATGAGGGAGCAGCCCAGTGTGGTGCTGAGTGCCGCTCACACCATGGCTATCCGCATGTCCCCGTTCGTCAGGCAGATGGACTTTGCTATTGACTGGATGGCTGTGGAGGCTGGCAGAGCTCTCTACAGGTTTAGCAAATATTGACCTTTCCTGTGCAAATTGATCTCGGTCAGTGTATTCATTTCCATGTATTGTCTTCTGTAATATCTGTGTTTCTTCTCTTCACATATACAGACAGGATGACCAGTCAGACTGCACCTACATTGTTCTGAATGGTCGTCTGCGTTCAGTTATCCGCAAGTCCAACGGCAAGAAGGAACTTGTTGGGGAATACGGCAGAGGAGACCTCATCGGAGTGGTGAGTCTTTCTCTCCTCAGTCAGAGAATTCTGCCTGCATGTCAAATAAATCTCAGCAAAATCAAATATTGAGCTAAAAGCAGATTGAAAAGGTAAAAATAGCTATCCGTTTAATGTGTTGATAAGCTGATATTGGGTATTTTTGTTTCATGTTGATTGCTATGTTGTCTGATTAGATGTAACCACATCCGGACAGTTTAAATACAAATAATTTCTTTACTAGATTGGTAGTTAAAACAGATACTGTATATTTCATATTTTGAAATATATTTATATAAAAATATAACAATTCCAATCATTGATGTAGGTTGATTGGTTATTTGTCTTTATATTCAACTTCTTACTACTGGGTTCCCACGGACCATTACACATTTTTAAAGGGCTTTCAATTAAGCAATCTGAAAATATGGCCTTAATAGGTATTCAACTGTCATATCTTAAAAAGATAAGCAGTTTGAAGTAGGATTTTCGTCCCCAGTGGCATTAAAAAGACAAAACATTCTTAAATCCAACTAGCCTTAAGCTCAAAGACCTCTGTAGTATAATTCTGTTTTATTGGTTCTGAAACATCTCACGTGTAATGCTTTAGGTGGAGGCCTTGACCAGACAGCCGAGAGCGACCACCGTCCACGCTGTGAGAGACACAGAGCTGGTCAAACTTCCAGAGGGAACGCTCAACAACATCAAAAGACGATATCCACAGGTCAGTGACTTCTCCTAGATCTGGTTGTGGTTGTGTGTGCGGCTGAACTGGTTCTGATGCTTGTCGTGTGTTTAGGTGGTCACGAGGCTGATCCACTTGTTAGGACAGAAGATTCTGGGGAACCTGCAGCATGGTCGCGGGCCATTCTCAGGTGAGATGATGACTAGTAGCATTTTATGTGCACACAAACAGACGTTCTTTAGCATACATTATACCCCATTAACATACTTTCTGTCTTTCTTTCTTCCAGGCTCAGCCCTGAGTCTGCCCACCATGACAGCCAGTGCTGATGTCACCAACCCTGCAAGCAACCTCTCCACGGTGGCTGTCCTGCCTGTGTGTGATGATGTGCCCATTAATGCATTCAACCTGGAGCTCAGCCATGCCCTCAGTGCCATCGGTAGGCCCACACAGTTTTCATTTGTCCACTACACCCTTTTTATCTTGAGTCTGGTATTGTTTGGTTATAACAAAAGTATTCATCATTTACTAATATT